GGAAATTGGTATATAGATAGTCATGGTGGTTACATGTAAATAGTATTTTTATTGAATGAGAAATTGAAAATTTTGCGTTTGGTGGGGCGCACCAACTACCCAGGATGGGTGGTTGGGCGCTTGGCAAACAGCGCTATTTGGAGAATCCCTTATTACGGCTGCCATAGCCAACACATAATTCGGGCAACCATAGAGTCGTATCTCAGACTCTACTGTTACTCCACAGCTCGCCGGTGCATATGACTGCTCCCATACCTAGGCAAATTTATCAGGTCTCTTAAGCCACAAGTTCGCAACGAGGTGATAAGTGTACACTCAAACATTCTGAAGATAGCCTAGTAAGTTTCACTGGCTTTTGCTACTCTGATATTCATCTTAAACTAGTTTGAAAAGCAGACCAAGCTAAGCAATCAGAAACATGCATCCGATCCCTCGCTCAAGCAAGATGAAGCTTAAGGCTACGACCGAAATACATATTTATTCCAATCTTCGCCTAATAATATCTAATATAGCTTAACCGCTGTTCGAGTTTCCATCTCCGAAAAAAATAGGAAATAGCTTGATGGAAGGCATTCTGACACTCAGATATGCATGTAGCTTCGCCGAGGGCTAAATGGACATGAGATTTAAAGACTTGATACTAAGTGACGCTAGAGAGCCCAACCATGTGTTAAAACCCTTCATCTTGAGATAGGGGTAACCCCTGGGGAGAAAACCGTAGGATAGACCCAGTGGATGCAGCCGAAAGTGGCAGCCGAATGCCGGCGCACCACTACAATGTAAAAACCCAAGATCACTCTCGTCCTAATTTCATTAATATTATGACATTAGCCCAATGTGCCACTAATAGTGAAGCCATAGATCTGTGCAATGGATTTGAGCTAGAGAGACAACTCACTACGTAGCATTAGAATACTTGTTTAGTCAACCATGTGTTGTACTCCGTAGAAAGGACCAAAATAGCTCCTTTTCGGAAAAAGAAGCGGTTACGTAGGCCAGGATCCACTGCTTCCTATATTTAGTTGTGAAATATCGTCTTTAGTCAATTCTTCACACGATTCGGTAATTGGCTCTTTTAGTGTGGTACCCGAGTCGAGAACACCCGATGGAGAGCCGATGGCATTGCCGTTATTTTGATCGTCTAAGATAGCAGAGAGCTACACCGACCATCCTTGATACCGAGCGGAAGTTTGCTAATGTAAGTTACCGTACGTTTTCATTCACACCGACATCAAAAGAAGAATTTAGAGACACCCAATAGTGAATTGGAGCCTTCGTAATATTTTCGCGACGTGGGGCTTGGCGTTTCGTTGGCATCCCACGTGACCATAGGCGGAAATTGAACGTCTGTCTTCGAGCCAAGGGCGGAATTTCCGGCCTTTGAGACGATTAACTTGTGACAATCACTCAATAGATGTTTCTCAGTTGTGCTCACATCTCGATAGATTTACTTCGGACTAAACTGGCATGCGTGGGTTGCCCACGTTCTCTTCATCTGTGTATCAGTTACATAAAGAATGGAATTTGCCGACATAAATTGTGAGATCTGTAATTCCTCCTTTCAGAGGCGAGAACACTATGAACGACATGTACGCACCCATACCAGGGAGAAGCCATTTGCCTGCACCGAGTGCGGTCAGCAATTTGGCAGAGTGTATGTCTCGAGGACTAAATTCACCCGCCGAGCCAAAGCGCTAACTACCCAGCAAGCGACTCACTAGCACGCCATTATACCGCAATCCATCAGCGCAACCTTGACTGTAAAAACTCTACAGCTGATCGACGTCGGATATCCAAAGCGTGCAAGCCATGCAATATTTCGAAAGTGCGGTGTGATGGAGAGCAACCGTGTCAACGGTGCCGCTGCCAAAACAACGGCACCAACTGCCATTATGAACCTTCGAATAAGCGCAAAAGAAGAGAATTCCAGCCTACGACAAATGGTTTGTCAAAAGAGCTTTCGGTGGATTCTCTTTGTCAACAAGTTGAGGACTATGGCCAACCTACCCGGAAGAAAGCAAGCGTTGCTGCAACAGAAGCATCCACCGTTCAAATGCCTATTCAACTTAGCCAGTGCTATGCAGTATCTACAACGCATGAAGGCATGCCTTATAATGGAGAGGGTACGCCATCTACGATATACGAGGGCTTGCAACCCTTCAATGCAGAAGAAACAGAGGTGGAAAATTTCTTGGATTTTGACCTGGATATGAACTTCTTACCAAGCTTGTTTGACCTCAACACCGGGATTGAGCGACCTGATAATCCCCTGCTGGCGCCAAAAGAGCCCGAAGGGCTTGCGGTTAGAACCCCTGGACCTCCTACGCCCTTGACTCCTGCAGCGGTGGCTGAGATGTACAACCGCAGTCTTTCACCATCCCTGGAAGGAGAAGCTATGGAGCCACGTCAATATCAGCCTAGTGCCACTGGTATCGACGCTCTGTTTTCATTCCCCAACATGGAGCACCTCTCTACTGAGGAAGTAGATCAAGAGAATCTGGCGCATGTCCCTGAAGTTTCAAACATTGTCGTCGACCAGATGGCTCAATTGGCACTGACTATTGAGACTACATCGAATTTTCCGCGCTTTGTTGAGTTGAGGATGCCACCTGCTTCTGTTATCAATGCCTGGGTGCAACTCTACTTCGAACATTTTCATCCAGTGTTCCCGTTCCTACATAAGCCGTCCTTTGGAACTTCCGATACACATTGGCTACTTATGTTTGCTGTTAGCGCCATAGGAGCTCAATTTTCTGAGCTGCCCCAATCGCAAGCCTGTTCAAGGGCCATGAATGAAATTGTCCGGCGGTCGGCATCTTATCTGGTAAGACATTTTCAACGTGCTTCCCAGTAGGTAGTGCGAGACTAACGTCCAATCAGTGCGAAAACAATAATCAAAACAGTCGTGAACTCTGGCTGACACAGGCAATCCTGCTCAATCAACTGGCCTTGCGGTATTCCGGGGAACGGAGGGCCCTCGAAATCGCCGAGTCATTGCAAGCTCTTCCGGTGACTTTGGCTCGCCGGAAAAGATTGTTCACCAGCCATTTGCCTCATGAACGACTATATCATCTCGACCTACCCCTGGACCAGAGATGGCAGATCTGGACTCTTGACGAGGAGAGGCGGCGAACTGGCTTTGCCATCTGGGTGAGTGGATGCATGCTCTGAAGGTGAAACAATCTTGTTTTCTTTTTGGCTCTGACATTATACTCAAGTTGGTAGATTCGGCTTTTCAAACCGATTTTGACCTGACTCCCGTGATGAGAGTCCATGAGATGCAGAACTCCTTACCTCAAGGGGAAAAGCCTTGGGCGGCATCCAGCGCACAAGCTTGGGTCGGCTTTCCCACTCGCATGTTGAATGGTAGTTTCACATTCTGTTGATTGCTATCTCTCTTCTAACAAGGCAAACAGCAACACATTTCCCGCACACTTTGTCTCAGCTGGTGTCCGATCCAAACCGGACTGCAGCATGGAACAAGACAGGAGTGCTCGGGAAAAGCGCTATCTTACAGCAACTCCTCGGTGATATTGAAGAAAACCGCCGGCAGTCATTAAACAGTTCCTCCGATTCCTCAGTTGTTGATTGCACGGCGGCTGCAGATGCACTGCGACACATCCTCAAAATGACATATGACCAACGACAAGAGCTTCCCATAAACGAATTGAAGGCTCTTGGCGCTCACCGAATCACGATATTCTCCGCATTGATGATGAACAACTTACCGAAAATGCCATTGTTGTCGACCGTGTTGAAAGTCAAATACAAACGATTCAGCGAGCCCGACTTGGGCCGACTCAAAAAAGAATGGAGCTCCTTCCCAAAAAAGACAAGGCAAGCTGTTGTTTATGCGGCAAACTTGTTTGAAACCATTCGATCCGCCCACTGCACGCATTACTCTGCACCAGTACTTTTATTTCAAGCTTCTTTGGTTCTGTGGCTGTACTCTGTTCTTCTGGGCCAGTCACAGGACTCCCAGTCCGATGTGCCGTCGATCATCATAGGGACGCCAGACATTGATAACTCGAAACAGGCACAGTGGACTGAGACTGGTCGAGGGCGCATCAAGATGTCGGGGGTGGGAAATATATCGTCTCCGTCTGGTCTCGGGAAACTCTTAGACGAGTCGATTTCCACGATGAGGACCATCAAATGGTGGGGAATTAGCCAAATTTATGAACAGCTCTTGGTTCGGCTACGTGCAACCTGACTAGCTTTACAGAGTTAGAAAAGAAATTTCATAAGAGATGAATATACATACCTAACATGCTGCGTAGCTGAGTTGCAAAGTCTGGTGACCGAAACACTCCCGCTTATTCAGCGGAAGCGGGTATCGGCAGCCAACCCCTGGAAAGCTCAATCTACAGTTAGATTGTACGATCCAAGGATGTATACATCTTGTGAGCCGACTCCACCGGCATTTCGCTCAGCACGTTGTACTCCGAGCTTTATGTCCGGCTTAAACCCATCGTTTTCTCCGATAGTCACGACTCACTCAAATCCATCCCCTCTTAAATTCTTCTTTTGTTACAACAATAATGGTATAACCTTTCATTCCAACTTTGAAGCCGAAACCCCGCTCCTGTGCAGCCTCGAAATGCAAATTCCTAAGTCATTCTTCGTCGCCGTGGGAGGCTCGTTTGTCCTTATCCAGCTCTTGTTTCTTGCAGATATGAGCTACCTATACGGCTCTGCCTTCAAAGACTCGGAGCGGATGAAGGCTTTCAAAATTCTTCTCGTCGACTACGACAACGGTATCGTTGGACAATCAGTCAAAGCTGCCTATGCCCAGCTAGCAAGCCCTGGATTTCCAACTCTTATTGAGCATTCATCGACCGATTATCCGGCTGCAAACGATATCCGTGAATCCGTCTGCAAGGGCCACTATTGGGGAGCAATTTACGCCAATCCCAACACCTCTTCAAGATTGTCCACCGCACTCGCCTCTCCTGAAGCTGCAAAAACATACCAAAGCTCTGAGGCACTGACCTATGTTTGGAATGGTGCGAGGTATCCCTCCTACGCCCAAGTGATCTCTTCGAGTCTCCAGATCCTAGTTCAGGGAACGAGGGGTGCCTACAATGCTATTAATGGAACATCGGCGATGTCAACAGCAAACACGACGGATTCAAATATCGCCAACGTCTTGTTCGACCCCATTGCCGCCACATCAATCGATATCATGCCGACAAACCAGGGTGTTCGCTTTTACTACAATACTGTCTCGATGGTGATGGTTATCCTACCACAATTCTTCTTCGTCATGGCCCTGAACGGTATCACGGCTGAATCCAACATCCTCAAGACGTTGTCCCTGATACAGAACATCACGCTTCGACTAGGCCTCTCCGTTCTATACACGTTCATCACATCACTCTGCATGAGCGGCTATATCTGGGCCTTCCGAGAAGATTGGGGGGTCACTTCCAGTCAATTTCCATTGATGTGGATGATCCTCTGGCTCGGCATGCACATCAACTTTTTTTATCGTTGATTCAGTCACAGCAGTGCTGCCGATGAAGTTTACGCCCTTTTTCATCCTGACTTTAGCCCTCACGAGTGTCGCAAGCACTATCAGTCCATTCGAATTGTCTCCTGGATTCTACCGTATTGGTTATGTTTTGCCTGCACATGAGATCTACCAAGTCCTCCTTGATATCTGGACTCGCGGGTGTAATCCCACTCTCTATAGATCCCTTCCTATCTTGTTCAGTTGGTGGCTTGTCGGGATCTTGGCCTTTTTGGCTGCTACGCGCAGGCGAGTGCTTTTAGCATCCGCCGAGTCCAGAATGACAAGTCTCGGGGCTAGGACGGTTGGGGAGAGAGATGAAGAAGAGTTGCTGTCTCTTCAAACCAGCAAAAGCAGGGTATCTACACCCTGAAACACCATGCAAAATTGCCAAGTCCTCTGGCAAACAGCTATTTATTTGATGATTCAACAACAGGTGTCTCAGAGCCTGAGAGGGTCTGACTCGCTGGAAAAAAAAGGAGATATCAGCACACCCTGCAAGTATAAGATTCTAATGGAACGCGTTCAAAGTTCCACGTACGGGTCTTGGAGTTTCTTCCTATTTGTTTGTTTGTTTGTTTTGTTTCTTTGCCCGCTACTCCTTCTTCTTCTTCTTCTTCTTCTTCTTCTTCTTCTTCTTACCCCATTTCAACCCTTTGGCACGCATTAACAGGGCCTTCTATCTTTTCATTTGCTCTTTTCATTTGCTTATCTCAATATCTCCGATCGATTTCGTTTCTATCTAGTTATCAGAGTTCCTCGCAAGGGAAAAAAAGATAACCTCGCCAATGCGATGCATGGTTTTGTTTGAAGTTGGATTAATTTACATCTTTCTATTCCCGCTTTCCTTTTTTAGAAAAAAGCTCATGCACTGAACACAAATGCTGAGGAGTTGTGTATTTTGTCTACTTCGCCTTATGCTCTAGTAACATTGCCACACCTAGTGTCATTTCCCTCATCTGCCTACTGTAACCTAACGTCTTACATTTCACCATCCTCTCCAACTACTTATCTGATGCAAACTAGTACTAAGAGGTCATCATGCTCAGTACCTTATGGCCTCAGGGCCTAGACGCCCTGGCAAAGATTACTAAATACCTACCTAGGTCTATAGCGATTTGACTTTTGAACCCAAAAAATTATGTATCTTGTTCATTTACACATCTTCAGATAAGTCGCTTTTGGTTCCTTACACTACCACAGAAAGAGAAGAGCCGTCCTGGTCCGAGATTGTTGGCTCAGGAGGTGTCATAGTCGTACTTGTGGGCAAAGAGATGGAGATGGATTTGGAGTAAACCACGGTTTTGGAAACGGAGACTAAACGCAGAGTTAGAAGTGGGCTTCATATGAACGTTCCCTGCAAAGAGAACTTACTAGATAAAACAGTAGAACCTGTGAGTATTGGTTAGAAGGAATTTTCTTTGTTTGACGGAAATTCAAAACCTACTCGTAGTTGTTGTTGCGTAAGCCCGATAAGTTGAGTTATTGGAGTTAAAGGAAGGGTGGTTACTAGGAATTCAAGATATTGAGATTACCTCTATGAATAAAAATGCATTTAAGGAATGATCAGTGCCTTTGATTGTTAATTCGACTCCGCAGCGCAAGTTCAATTTTTTAAAATATTAGCAGTAGTAAAAAAAGGTAAGATCTCGGTAGAGGGTGCCAATGAGGCCATAGGACTTGGTCAATCATCATTGGCATACAAATATATCGTGGCTATAATAGTGTCCATTGGCAATACCTGTGCGATATTGGGGTGACAAAAAAAAGCACCACTAACGCTAGAGAACCGTTCGGCATCGTTTAGTTGACTCTGTTTGGTAAGAATTCACATTTTCATTATGTGGTCATCCCGAACCTGTCCCGCTCATCACAGGAAAACAGCTTTCAAAAACTTGTCACCGTGGCAGTCATGACAAACCCAAATTTCTCTGGAGATTTGGCTAACAAATCGGGTGGTATGCGTGATACTCTAAGGCTAGCATAGACTTAAGACGATGAAGATGGGCGTCAAAAAATTTCAAGTGACTGTTCATGGCGCTGCCTACATCATTAGCACACCTACCGCATTGTTCAGGAATGGTAATCCCTAGGCGCTTCCTTCAAACCAATCTGCAAGAAACAAGTCATTTAAAGTAATCGAAAATCATCCCAGTATAGTTCGTTCCGGGCTAGTTCATACTGAATGTCACTCTGCAGGCCTAAGCACCTCATCACAGTGCATTTACTGCAGGGAATTCCACCTGGACATCCACTGCCTAGATTTATCGAAATTCCCATTAAACTGCTGTCACCATGTACTTTTGTGCATTCACATGTAAGGATGTTTCTATCTGTCTCTGATACATGTCAATGGTGCCTATAGTGACCGTAAATTATTTGGCCACAGAAAGCAATCGACTTCCGTTCATTTTCTGTCGCTTTCCTCTCTGGAAGCACCATTCATGAAGAAGAGCAGTGTTGGAAATGAACACCCACATACTTTCACCCAAGATGGGGCTCGCTTTGTACTCGAGGCTTAGCCCCCACTGGCTGACGGGCCCGACAAACTCCGAAGCTGATGGACTCTCTCGGTGGGGTATCTTCCTGGCTCGAGGGCGCTTTTGATCCTACTTCTTATTCCCAGCATGTAACTCTGCGTCTCCATTCACAAGGAACACCTATATATAGCAAGCAGCACTAGATCTAAAGATGATTTAACGCGCATCATTAGAATCCAGTCAGTAAAAGGGGGTGAGGTGGGGTGAAATATGGGGCCAGTGGGCCTCACGGCACATGTTGAAACCGAGTGCTCGCACGTTCCTGTTGTACGAAGTACTGGTTGTGCTGAGAAAACAAATTTTCTTTAGTATTTCCTATCCCCACCCGTTTCGGGTCCCTGTTGATCCCCAAAGCTTTTGCTTGCTCAATTTTGTTGTGATGATTACAGAGTACAAAAGTTTGATGACCCGCTCTAGATAGTTTTGCTGTATAAGATCCACTTCTTAATGCACTTCGTAAAATCAACAAAGGACCATTTCCCATATATTATGCTTAATAGCCACCTTGAGCAGTGGACGGTTTCCCACTTCCACGTGTTGAGTAATTTGATACGGAAATTTTCCGGGCGGCAAACCTTTTTCTGCCCATTTTTATGATCCACAAACACAGCCCTCTCTGACCAAAAATTTACCACATCAATCTACAAAGTACTCCGTACTTCATCTAGTCTCTGGAGTCTCTCTTTCTACGCCATGAGCGGCTTTCTAAGCTCTGAAACACAACCTAAAGCATCAAGCTCCGACCAGATGGGTCGATCGACGTGTATCAACCAATTTACTTGTTCGTAGTGCATTAGATCCACAGTGGCGATGCAATCACACAATACCACGAAACCCACAAGAAGCAATCCGCCAATCACCCTTGGAGCGTGTACGGAGCACGGAGTACTCCGTATGGAGTAGAGACATTTCTAATTAAAGGGGGAATTTCATGCTAGACCAATTTATTATGCGCTGAGCTCCCCACTAAATACCTTCTTTCAATTCGCTAGACTAGACCCTGGTTCGCTCGGATGGACCCTACTGCCTGGACTTATATATGTTCTGGGTCCGCCAAGTCGAACAGAGGTTTTGACATCTTCGCTGCTCCCCATTGACCGTTTTCTGGTTCATTCTAATGTACATTTACAGACGTTAACAAGTATGATCAGTCGCAAATCCAGGCGCTTTCTTTACGTCGGGCTGGTTCTATTCCTATCTTGTATCTTCACTTTCGCCCACTCAAAAGGCCAGGTAAGCTTGCTACAAAAGAAGTCCTTCGACAATGGAATCCCTGATGAAGGGAACCACCAGCAACAGGTGAACACTGAATTCAAGGGAAAAAACAAGAGTGTTGCTAATTAGTCGTAGTTCTTTCTCCCCCCCCAAGAGCGATATAAGCACGAGATTGAAGCTACCACACGGTCAGTTACCAAATTAATAACCATCTCAGCGTTCAGCTTCGGGACAACTGGAAAAGACCATCTAATGCTAGTGCAGGCAATTTGATGGGTTTGATTCTACTCTGAAGAGGGTACTGCCGCAACGATCTCGCAACCCTCACCTCACCGATGACCCCCGTCTGAAGTCCTCAACGAGTGGACCCACGCCGAAGATCTATCGCCCATACCCCGATTATGGGAGTGAGGAATGGAAGAATAGTCACCGTGGTTCTTTCAAATCGTGCATTGGGCCCCGAGGCAAAGCAATCACAGACAACTTGGACGACCAAGTAAGCGCCTACGCCGGCGTTCTTAAAGGTACGTAGATGTTTCTCGTTTTTCTATTCACACGTCGAAGAGACTTATTGTGAAATCCTGTCCGTGGACGTTGAAATGCACCATGGCCTTTTTTAATGGCGCAAGGAGGCCACAAGCTCCATGCGCCCGCACATGTTGATGTCCGGCTTCTATCGAACACTTCTTTGCTATGATAAAGCACCAAGTTTTGGCTTATGAGAGCATTCAACTAATTTCCGCATGTGGGGATAGGCTTTCCAACAACGATTTTTGGTTCCCACAAGGCAGTTGGCCTTGAGGAGTCGCTATCATTTGATCGCTATACTCGGTACGGCGCTTATGGCTTCGCCGAAGATGAAAAAAATGTCGAAAACTGGATCAGACCTACCAAAGTCGATTGGAATATTGTTGATTGGGGAAAGCTTCAGAAGCAATGCGCCGCGGACAATGCGGACCGATTTGACGCGCAGTCTCAGGGATTGAACATGCATCATGCCCCGGAGGCACGTACGGCCGTACTCATTCGCTCTTACACTGGCAAGGAGTTTTCGGATAATGATATTATTAACATCCGAGCCATGGTCTCCGAGCTGTCTCTCCAATCAGGAGGAGAGTATGAAGTTGTCTTGTTGACCCACGTCAAGGATGATAGCATACAGCTCAATGATCCCCTTGTGTGGGATAGGCTTTTGAACGAGCACATCCCTCGAGAGTTCTGGGGTATAACTCAATTCTGGAGTATGCCTCAAGAGGTAGCGCATTATCCTGAGCTCAACCCTGAACTGATGGAGTTAGAACCCCATCTCTTTTCGTGTTAATCCGTTTTTACTAATGTGGCGCACAGTGTTCATCATTCGCAATGGCTGTCGGTACAACAATTCGCAATCCAGAACCCTCAATTCGAGTTTATCTGGAACTGGGAAATCGACACCCGCTTCACAGGTCACTACTACGAATTCGCCGACAGGGTCTCAAACTTCGGCTCTCGACAGCCACGTCGAGAAATCTGGGAGCGCAGTGAAAGATTCTACATCCCAAGTTACCATGGCAATTACGACGACCAATTTCGATCATTTGTTAATGCCCAGGGCGGAACCGGCATCTGGGGGCCGATGCCCATGAGGTTAGAAAATGGCAAGGAGTTTGAGCGTCAAGGCCCTACACCACCCGTCCCCACAGCCACCCAAGACCCCTATCAATGGGGTGTGGGCGAGGAAGCCGACCTGATGGTTTTCTTGCCCATCTTCAATCCAATCAATACGGAATGGGTCATTCGAAACGAAGTCTTCGGTTATCTCGGAGATATCACCCCTCGAAGAGCTTCCTTGATCACCCACAGTCGCCTTTCAAGACGGCTATTATTGACAATGGACCGTGAGAATCGTGAAGGTCGCCACATGAGCGCTGAAATGTTTCACGTATCAACTGCCTTCATCCACGGACTCAAGGGTGTTTCGGTTCCTCACCCGGTCTATTCAGATCGGTTAATGCCAAGCGACCGTGTCAGTCGCTGGTTTAACTCGGGTGTCAACGGTCGGAGCGGGAGTACTTTGGATAGCCCATTCTCATGGGGTCGAGAATCTCGTTTCAAGGATGTTTCTTGGTATTACCGTGCCAACCTTCCTGGACGACTATATTGGAACTTCCTGGGTTGGGAAAAGGAAGGCAAGGGTGGACCACAGGTATGGAATCGCCTCGGACGAAATCACCGAAGATGGCTAGCTAACATTTCGCAGTACGAGGAGGAACATGGCCGATTTTGCTTACCTTCGATTCTTTTCCATCCCGTCAAAGATGTTCGACCTGAGGCGGATAGCACTCACTATGATTTCGATGCTGACAACGGATCAATAGCTACACCAGATCAACTGGCGCATATCAACGAGCAAGGGAAACCATAGCTTGTCTTTTGCTATTTTTGGTTCAATTTTCTTTTGGATAAACTTTCTCCATCATGGATCATCTTCTCCATATCTCTATTATATACCTCCCATGTTTGATATCAATGATTATACATTTGGACCGCCCTGTGTGCATTCCCAACGATCCTCACACGTCTTTTCCTGGAAGCAAGGATGGCAAAAATAATTGAAGAAGACCATCACTTTGCAGCCACTGGGTGCGCCTGGTAAGTCTGACCGTCCTGAATAGATCCTTCACTAGACTGCTGTTGTGACGGCCTGGGAGCCTTGCTAAGAGCCTTGCTAAGAGCCTTGCTAAGCAATATGATATTTTACATAGCTCTAGCAAAACAACAAAATCCTCTTTACCACTACTGGCTTATTTCCATAACAGCTGTAGCCCTTTGTGGCAAGGAATTTCAGGGGTTTGGCCATGCCAGGCGCAAGCCCAACCCTCGGTCAGAGGGGTGAGGTTAAAAGCCGGATGGATCAACTTGTTCCAGACTCCCCCGGCCGTTGTTGAGATACATCGAAAGACGTCTTCCCTATAGAGCCCTAAGGGCCCGGGGTCCCACTTGGGTGCATAATCAAATCACATTGTACAAAAACGCCAAATCTACTTGCTCATTTCGATTGTCACACGCTTACCGATGGGCAACAGTGGCAACATTTAATCGAAAGTATTTGGACCTCTTCCTTTAATGTTATAATTCACTGGAGCTTCCAGGACCGATAAGCGCTCACCTTGTACCCGCGACCTTAGTTTCGTTATCTTCCATCATATAATCGTCCAGCCATTGAAATTATGCCACTCCTTCAACAGGTTGTTTGTCATTCCTTTATTAGCAGTATTCTTGTATAATGCTCTAGTGTAGCATCCTGATGCCGACTTGATCTCCTTTGTAACGGTTATCCAACACTCTGTTAGCATGTCACCGATCGAGAAACTGACAGGTTTTTCACAGCTCCTAGATGTACGAGCCTTGAAATGGGAATTCACCCACCATAACCGTGGGCGTTAGACACCGGGATACTGGTTCGTTGCACTGTGTGGGCAGATATATCCGGAGAAGCACACTCGGAAATATCAGCAACATCAAGTTGGCCTTTTATATCTATGGCAGTGACGTCATATGTAATATTTACCGCCTCGTGATCCGCAGGAGATCTGAGAAATCATGATGATGACAGAAATTGCCATATGAATGCATGTTTATGGTGGCACCAAATTGTACGATAACCGCAAAGTTTTTGATTTCGGCGTCAATAAAAATATGGACGGCAGCACACACCTTTGAAGACCGGCAAAGCGCGCTCCTATCGTCACTTTCCCTGCGGGTAAAACGGGGAAGTATCACGCACGCAGGAAGGCCACCGCCTCTCGCCGGTGTCAGAGTGATTTCTTTCTCTCGGCTTTTTATATATTTCATTGACAATATTCACCCATCAAAGGCAGCCACACGTCTAAATTTCTGCAGGCGACTGCCCACATTCCTGTAATCAAGGCTTACCACATGCATTTACATGCTTGTCGGCAGCCTCGCTGCTCCGGTTGAAGTACAGCACAACAAGGAAGGGTTGAACTTAGCCTTGGAGCTGAGACCTATCTCTGTTTGGCTGTGACTGTTCAACTAGTGCTGAAAGAATGGGAATTAGAAATTTTAGCACCCCAAATAAGGAAAACTGGTGGGCTTGGGTCATGGATATCCTGGGTTTGCCGCTGAAGGACTCCTCTGAGACTTGTCTGGATTCGCCGTTCTATAAAACACTAGGGGCTATGTCTGTGCTACAACCAATCCTGTCACAGCCATTACACAGCCCCGATAGAATAAGATGTGGTTCTGTTTGGGGAGTGGGCCTTTCTATTCTACATCAGTCTCAAATTTCAGAAGATCTTGTCAGTTAGGACAGATTTTTCTCAGTCACAAACTTTAGCCTTGTAGGATTCTTGCTCAATAGGCCTCTTAGAATCCTACTTCTCTACTACCACCGAGCCTATTACATTTTAAAAAGTTCAAATTTGTACGTACTGAGAGATATACGCCGATAGATTGTGGAAACCAGAGCTTCCCGTCTGTTCAGCCGTACCTAAGTCTATTACTCTGTGCGCTCAATTTTAAAGGCTCCTTGAACATGGAAGTAGTGGGGGAAATCGTGTTAATTTAAGTGAAATGGGCGAGAATTTTAGATACCTATGTGATAGCATTGAGAACGGGATGAGAATGGGTGACAAGATAATAAATACATGTCCATCCGCAACATCGACCCAAGTTAGGGTGGTAGAATCCTTCGTTATGTTGCGGAGTGTTGAATTTTAGCCCAGTCAGCCCCTATCGAAGTCTGAATCTGAGAGATGACAATTTAGTGCCCTTGGATGATATCGTTCAAATGTTGAATTTCGCGATCCCATAGAGCCTAGACTAAGTTAGCCAGTCGGTCACAACGAGATTGATTTTGATGGAATAATACCCAATCAAACATATCAGGAGTAGAGAAGTTATTTCGGACATTGTAGAATGGATGAGATGAAACTGGCTCGAAGACAGGGACGTTACTTGTTGTTGGTACTTGGAAATCATGTGCATCACTTCTGTGGTCAGATTCCATAAGATGGAGCATCATTGCTACTATATTAGCAGCCTTTGCCGTTTCCGGGGACGGTCGAGAAGAAGATTTCCAAGTTGCTAGGGAGGTTTTGAGCAAATCCAAAAGCTCTCTCCGAGTCGAACATCCCTCGTCAATGTCAAGTTTGGACTGGTTGATCACCTCAAAGCAAATCACCATGGCAGCCGTCATGGAATCAGAGATGGAACGTGACATACCGAACCACACCTGAAACCGATACTTTGGCAAAGAAAACACCCTCTGAAAGAGCTCTGATTGGTATTGAAGAATCCGTTTGGCAGAATCAACACAAACACGGCGAAAAAGGTTGATGTCGCGATCTCCTCTCTGAGTGACCAAGTGCTGACGATGTAGAATGCATCGAGCTCGCTCATATGTGGTCCCGATAGAAAGTCGCTGAATTGTCGCATCGTCATCTCCCGTCACTTCATTCAAAGACTTCATATTCCACTGAGTGGGGATCTGATTCCAAGTTGCTTCCAATCGATGGCTCAATTCCATCGTTTTTTCGAGCGTGAGGATCGATTCCGAGGCGGCATCTGTGACTTCACTAGCTATAGACAGCATTTTCTCCATTGCAAGCATGAATGCTATATTGGTGGCTTCAGTGTTAGGCCTTGCAGGGGGGAGAATGGTGACTGAGGGTCCTAAATCATCGTCCAGAAGGTTACGTGGACATGTGGCGTTGCCATGTCCTTTCTGGGTGACAGGAAGGAGCCCCGTTTGCGACGCAATGATGTGGTCTGAAACCACCAATACAAGCCAGGTTCTGCGCCTCATCTCACGTTCAAAAACAGAAAGCTCCGGAAAGATATCTGGATCTCGATGGTACCCCATCATTATCGCCACGCGAGAAACAAGACCGATCAAGATGGAGATGCCTGTCTTCAAACCGTCACTCTGTAGGTATTCGATACCCAGATACATGACGGCAGCTTCCACTTTGTAGCGACCAGGAATCGTATAGTTTGAGGTGGTCAAAGCTGTTGCGCATTTTGTCCGGTAGAAGTCAAAAATCTTGGGTAATACAGTCTCAGCTGTACCCGGAATCAGGCTATGTTGGATGAAAACCCCACAAGAAAAAATGCCAAATAGCAACGCAAGCCATGCTAGAGATGCTGTTGAGGGGTCTTCCCAGAATTCTTTGTACTTGATGCGGTTGTCAGTGACTTTCTGCCTATTGAAACAGAGTCGACAGACATACTTCTGCTTTAAATGTAGGAACGTGAATGTGAACTAAGATACGGGTCAGTCCGGATAAGCTATGATCTCAAGGGAAGATCCAACTGCTTCCATACTCAATGATGGCTCGCCAGAGTCTAAACAACACGATACTAGTGCGTCGGCATCCTTCCGCGGTGGCAATGCTGCCAGAAGGTCATTGATCCCTGCTTCCTTGACGAATCCTAAAAGTATTGGACTGGCAGACCTCATTTCTACATCATTAGCGCCCTCGTCAGTGGATGAATCATCATAACTTCTTCCGAGCTCTCTTGTCTGTGAAAATTAGTACCGTTGGATTAGTTTAATTTTGCAGAGAATGTCACATACTGCATTTCTCATGATGACTCGCCAATGGCTTGGGTTAATAAAACGAATGGCGTTAGTTTGGGAGGTCGAATTGTTGGAGTTTGGTTGTGTGTCTAAAACGTGCCGAGGTATAAGAGGGTTGTTTGGATAGATCTCATGCTGGCTGTCCCTGTGATTGGTTGAAGGCGATTCATTGTTCGCATGTAGAGCATGCTGGTTCGGAAGAGCAGTTTCTAAGTAGAGCAGTCTCCGCTCAACATGGGCCAGGCGACTTTGAAGCGTTTGTGACTCGTCGTGAGGCCCATTTTCAGTCACGTAATGACAGGATGCAGCCTGGTTACGTTTCAGGCAATTTTCGCAAGGCAATTTTCGATTGCATTTCAGTCTAAACAAGGATTAATGTCTGGTAGCCTTTGAAATACTCACACCACAAACATCAACGTGGGTTAAATTTGTGCACGTTGTGTTCAACGTACTTTTGGTCTCTGCATGGTTTGCAGGAAAACAAAACTCGTGGTTTTTGGTTCCGTCTTTTCCGATCAGCTTGTGGAAGGGCCCGACTCGGTCCCATATTGAGATAATGTGGTCAAATAGGGATGGATACACAGAATCCCGTCTTACGGGCATTGAGTGTTTTCGGGTTTCTGATGATGGGAGTTCGGGTTACTCGGGTTTCTCGGACTTGAAGAAGAGGGGAGAAGACCCACATACTGCCTTCGTCACAAACCGGTGAAGATGCTAGTTGCATAATTGTAGGGAATCTTTCATAAAAAAAATATGTGCGACTACTTGCGACAGAGTACAGATTCGAATCAATCCCGCCGAACTATAAAAGGTGCACTTATTCCCAGACGGCAATGTGGTAGTTCAGTCACGAGATCCTTTTACCAACACCAGTTCAGAGCTTCCAGCAGTTATGAAGTCAACGACCAAATTCCGAGTTGTAATCGCGGGTGGATCTGTAGCTGGTCTTACTCTCGCTCACTGTCTACTCAAAAATAACATTGATTTCGTCGTGCTGGAGGCCAGCCCTGTAGTTGCTCCGGATGTTGGAGCATCTCTTGGTCTTCTTGCAAATGGCGGGCGTGTCCTTGATCAGCTCGGTGTGTTCGATGACGTTCAAGAGGAAGTTGTATCCATCAAGGATGCTTTCTTTTGGGCAGCCGATGGAAGTCTTAACCTAAAGTCGAACTATCCTGAGGAGCTCAGGAAGCGGTAAGAACTTGTCAAGCATATTGACCCCCGTGGCCGATCGTATATGGGGCTAACACGACTCAGACACGGTTACCCTGTTGCATTCTTGCCACGCCAAACACTCTTAAAAATCCTCTTTAAACATCTTGGGGACCGGCAAGATGTCGTGTTACCTAACAAGAAGGTTATCCGTGTCGAGCACCACCCAAGCCATGTCGTTGTTCATTGCGCAGATGGATCCTCGTACGAGGGAGATATGGTTGTGGGCGCCGATGGTGTCAGAAGTGTGGTCAGACAGTCGATGTGGGATTACATGGAGAGCAAAGGACTCAAGAGCGAAGCCCAGAAAGAGCGCTCTAGTGAGTATCTTCTGTTTCTACGATGATTGAAACATGACGCTGATGTCATTACCTAGCTATGAGCTCAGAGTACAGCTGCGTGTTTGGAATATCGACGGCAACTCCTGGACTGGATCCAAAAGACATTCACCGAACATACGGCAAGGGGTGGTCCTTCCTCACGATTGCAGGAAAGGGCAACAAGTCTTACTGGTTCCTATACAAAAAGATGGACCGCATCTACTACGGCTCTGACATTCCTCGTTTTAATAAGGCTGATATTGACGAACACGTTGCTCCATACTTGGATAGGCCAGTCAGTGGCTCTGTTAACTTTTCTGAATTGTACAAACGCAGCACCTTTCGAACATTCGTGGCATTGGAGGAGGCAAACTTCAATCATTGGTGCATTGACCGATTTGCTTGTGTTGGCGACTCGATTCACAAGGTGCGTCCACCTGTGTAAGTAAGACATACACCGTTGTTTTTGTTCTAATTTCGATGCGACCTAGATGACACCAAATTTTGGTCAGGGTGGTAACTTCGCTATTGAAGCCTCTGTGACCCTAGCAAACCACCTTGCGAAGTTGCTTCAACGTTCCTCTCCTTGTCAGACCGAGGATATCCACCAATGTACGCAAGCCTGGCAAGCTAGTCGCCGAGAGCGAGTCGACAACATCTGTCGATCTGCATTCAACCTCACTAGGGTTGAGGCGATGGCCTCCCCGAAGGATAGATTGCTCGTTCGCCTGATTCCATACATGAACGCAAAGATGATTGAAAGCTTATCTGCAACCCTCGGTGTATCACCAAAGCTTGAATGTGCACCCGAGACTGACAAAGCATTACGATGCTCGATCCCATACGAAACCGATAATCTCGCGTCAGTCGTCACAGAGAGCATTTGGACGCGAGCCCTTTGGGGCATGCCTTTTGTGGCTTGCATCGCCATCTCAAGCGGCACAATGGGAGTTATCCTCGCAAAGGTCCAACAATTGATGATCCCATACCTTGTTCAAGGAACGTGGAGTTCTAGTAACGGGGAGGTCCTTGACATAAGGAAAGTTGTCTACCACATCCCGTTCCTGGATAACCTGCTACGACCGTTGATTTTATGCTTCCTTCCGTCGATCAGCGGATCCGATCTACAATCTAGAGCCCAGATGATTTCTTTCCTCGCTGATGTAGGTGCGGTTTATGGTATTTGGAAATTAGAAAGCTATCGTAAAGCGAACGGCTGGTCAGAAGTGGCAGTGTAAGTGACCCTGAGTGCTAGCACTGCTCATTTTAAAATGGCAATACTGACATTAGCCTTTTTACAGCCCAATTTCTATGTCTTTGGCCTTCCAAATAAAGGGAATCGGTCTATTGGCGCCTATCTACTATCTGCTGGAATATGTTCGTACGCCTCTGTCAAAATTGTTGCCCAAGAGCCTGCGTGAAATTGAACCGGCAGGGTCAATATCCCTTCTAGCTGCCATGTCAATTGGTCACTACTTGACCACTCTTGCCAGCTTCGTGGCCCCTACGCTGGACAGCCGGCGCTGGTGGAACGCAATGTGGCAAATCTTCCCCATCACCGTTCCGTTGTTACAAGTCCCATTTGCCCTACTTGGCAAAAAATTCTGGCCCTCAACTAAAGCATCTCCCAAAGAAAAAAGCCAAAACAGCATGACTAGCACTCGGATCGCATATGGCGGATTTGCTTTGATCTCTGCACTTTCTTTCATCTACGCAAGACACTCAGCACCTGCAGATGCATCGCTGATTAGCATATTTTGGCCTGGTCTTCGCGGTCATCTTCTCCCTGTGACATCTTTCCAGGAAGGCATTGCACGGGCTTTGCAGTATGATCAGGTCACCTCTATGGCTAGTGGCTTTTTCTGGCTCGCATTGAGATTCCGTGAGATTAAGCAATCTGGGGGTTCCTTCTCCTGGTTGAAGGCTATCGGTGCGCTGGTGGCAACGACGTCCACATTTGGCCCTGGAACTGCGTTTGCTCTTGGCTGGGGCTGGAGAGAAGAGCTCCTTCACAAACTAGCAACCTCCCAATGATCATTCCAGGAGGATTGCCAGCTATTTATCCTCCTCTCCCTCTTCTGCTTTCCCCTTTCAGCAGTTGGCAGCTTCAAAACAGAAGTCTTGCTCATCCTCTTCTCCTAAATTCTCAACAGTGTCTCTTTGATGATATTTGATTGAATGTGTACACTCTTTCTCCCCACCTGTACCTTAGTTCCGAAGCCAGAATCTATCCACTTTTCGCTGGCCCCGTCTATACACTTCCGACCACTGCTCACTCACTCAACCAAATTATTCCAAACTATCAACTACTTAGACTATTAAGTTTTCTCTGGCTACTTGAAGCACATACGACCATAGGGTGTGGAAAACAGGGCTTCCCGTCCGCTCAGCCGTACTTAAGCCACACGCCATAAGGGTAGTTGATTATTTTGAGGCCTTCTTGTTTAAAAGCAGCATTCCAAGCCTCACTAGGGTGGGTGTAGGTGAGTTGGGTGAGCTCAGTCACAGTCCGTCGAGCACTCCCCACCATTTCTCCTATTAAAGTGCAACCAGGGCGCTCCTACTGTCTAGTATTTTATTTTAAACCTTGAAACCCGTTTATTCCGAACCATAACGATGAATATAGATGAGACTATCAAACGTCGCCTTGAAGAACACCAAAAGCGTACTCAGTTACGTGGCTTTACTTTGGATTATCAACAAGCTCAGGAGAATGCAGATAATATTATTTGCCATAAGGCGTTAGCTCCTGTTACGATTGAGAAGTATGAAACGGTAGCATTGCACTGGTTACTGTGAGTGTTCTTTTCAAGAATTTTGTGGAAAGACACCCTAACCTTTCTAGTTTCAAGATGTCTAGAGGTCAGACTGGCGAGGCAGCAAAGCTTTCTAAAGATACACCCCTCCCGAAAACACAAGAATTGAAAAATTTTGTGGAAAGTTTTGTGACATCGAGAAAGGATCTTCCTTGTCAAAGCTCAACATTGACAATCTTCAATCACTTTGTCTCAAAGTGGTATCGGGATACATTCTACGAACTTCCTGAAGATATGAAGAAAGATGTTCGAAATGTTCGTGGACTATGTTTCATAACACCATGTACTTGAATAACTTTTATGGAATACCTAGATACTAATACTGGTATCAGTTTATACGAACTACTGATGCAAATACAATGATAGTATGTATGCAGGTAAAACAGTATTCAATTGGATGGACGGGGAGAGAGAGAAGGTGAGAGTGGAAGGAAGACTATCTAGTTGGTCTATTCTACATGTGATGCCTGAGGCATCCAAC